CAACAGTTGAAACTCAACGTTTGATTGTATGAACGAAAGACCCGATGGATTAGATACAATAAAGGGATAGTTACTGGTTGTACATCACTATTTATGAATCTTACTAATTGAATTTTTGTAAAGTACAAAATTGGCGAATCAAGTTGTCCCTTATTCAGTAGCCATCTATTCGAATTCGTCGAAAACTTGAAAGATACATTTGAAGTACAGGGCATCGAACCAATGAAGATATTTTTTGCATCATCATTTAGAATAAGTACTGGTGGTCGAACAACATTGAGCCACCAATCACTCTGAAACTGATATAATAATTGAATCATATCAATTTCTCCATTCTTACATGTAATGGCAAATTCTAGTTTTCTCAGGCGCCAGCATTGTTGAAATATTGCCTCCAAACGACCTCCATTAATTACATGTTTTAAAGTATGAATAATCAAAGTCACACATTCGAGAGAGGATTGATAACAACTAATTAAAGTTTTGATAGAATTAAGACACCAATCATCATCATCTCGATTGTGATTCTCACGTGCGATGTATAATCGAACTAGACGGATGGGTTGCTGAATAAGATTTAAAAGGGTAAAATAGTTTGAAAAATGATACATAGGTATGAACTCTTTGATCTTCAGACTAATCAAATTGGGAGCGAGAGCAGAAAGACAGAATATATCTTGAACTGTACACTTCTTGGCAGATATACGCACAATAGATGGACAAGATTGAGTGTTGGAAATGACTTCTACCTAAAACAGTGTTCTCATACAAAAGATAAATACACTGAAATGTCTGTCTAACGCACCTGCTCGGCATATTTCAAGTATAACTGACCACTAAAAATGGATAATCCATCATCGTCATCATCTTCATAGTCTGAAGAAGGCCAAATATCACACAATCGAAGTATATTCAAAGTTGAAATAATAGCACCTAGGGCAGAAAATGCAACGATGACTTGTAATTTGACCGTAAAAACGTTTGAGCACTTTAAAATGATTGATTGTAGATTGAAAAATGAATGTGTACATGAAAAAATATTCGGCACCAGCTTCATGTCGAGAGTCATCTTTTCAATAATATTCTCGACGAATGATCTATGTTCGATTAGCCAAACTGGAGATATATCATCCGGAAACGTGAAGTTGCGTGCTGACTTGTGAACAATCCAATTGAATCGTCGATTAAGACAAGAAAATGCTTGAACTAGATCTGTTGAGCTCAAATAGGACATAATCAAAAACATTGATTCATCTGACAAAGATTCAAAAGAACTATTTAACAATGGTCTGAAACGAAAGATTTGCCTATTTGTTTAATTTAATAAAAAAATAGTGCATCCTTATACTTTCGAGGAATGTTCATTACATCATTCTGCTGTTCAAAATCAAGCAAAGTATCAATCAAACTTTGATCATGCTCATTTTGAGTGACATGGCTTGCTGTCTTCTGAACTGATGTCGATGAACTTGTTAGTTTGGATAACTGAGTGATGGCGTGGTTATTTTCTTCATAATCCAATTTGACTCGTTTGCTGCTCATATCGAAATCACGATCTTCAGAATACGAAACAGAACACATCGAACGAAATTACTAAACTGAGAAAGTTACCTGAGTATAATCTGGCGTTGTTGTCTTGAATCTGTATCGTCAGACCATGATCAGAGCTCATCTTGTTACAAAATCTAAAACATAAATTTAACTATAAATTGAATTGAAAATTAGCCACTCCTAATCTCTCTTTTATCATAATTATAATAAATTCAGTTTTCGAAACGGAATAAAAGGAATGGATGTTGTGTATGAGAAAGTTTGTAAACTATTAAAAGAAAAGCTGTGCAGCTTTCATGGCAACTATCGCGCATATTCGTAATGCATCCCTTCGCATTTTTCTGCTTTGTTTTGCTCCTTACGGCACGTTTTTTCTTTCTTCAGTAGGATTTCATATTCGGAAGAAAGAGAACACGTAAATTATGTGAGTGGGGGTGGCTGTGGGTATTGATGTGGGATGGGTGTGGGTGTGGGTGTGAGGTGTGGGTGTGTGTGTGGGTGTGGGTGTGGGTATGGGTATGGGTGTGGTTGTGAGTGGGTGTGGGGTGTGGGTGTGTGACGTGGGTGTGTGGGTGTGGGCGTGGGCATGTGAAAAGAAGGATAACACGGAAACTCACATCCACATCCCACACCCAGCCACATCCACACCCCGAGACTGACCGAGACCGAGGCTGAAACTTTTGACCTCGGTGCACCCTGAAATCGTCTGAAATCATTGAAATTGCTTGAAATCACGAGAAATCCACGAAATCATTTGAAATCAGTTTTTTCTTCTTTGGTGACTTGGCCAAATTGCAGCTGATTTTCAAATGATTTCAAGTCATTTCAGATGATTTCAACTGATCGATGATTTCAAGTCGATTGCAACATTTGAAACCAGTTTCTTCCTCCTTGGATGAAACTTTGCTGTTGGCTATCGAGATCGGGGAATCCCAATCTGAAGTCAGAGTTTCAAAATTTTGAGTTTTGTTTTTTCGGTTAAGGAAATGATTTTTTGACAAAATATTGATATTTTATAAAGGTTAACGAAAGTAGGGTGTGGGTGTGCTAGCGTGGGCGTGGGCGCGGGTGCGAGGGCGGGTGTGGGTGTGGATGTGGGTTTCAGTGTTATCCTTCTTTCCACATGCCCACGCCCACGCCACACCCCCACACCCACTCACACCCTATCCGATGGGAATAGTTGTTAACTCGAATGGATATATGTATATAGCTGATTATGAAAACAGCCGAATTCTTCGATAACCACCAAATTCGAGTTCTGGTACATGTATTGTGGCCTGTACTGGTGTTAGCGAAAATGGCATTGATATGGTGAATGGACCATATGCATTGACATTCGATAGCTATGGATCTCTTTTTATTAGCGATGGAAACAATAATCGAGTACAAAAATTTCAGATACTTAACAGTTTTGGTGAGTAGAAAATGTTTTAATAAATGTAGTTTGTTGATTTTTTCTGGAAATTACTACAAATGAAACTTCAACGACAGCGGCGGCTTTGATAACAGTGACAACAGATTATACAACACCTTTGCCAGCTTCATCGATGTCAACTAGGACATTTTCCACAACAGTAACAATATCAGTCGCTGTATTGATAATTTGTTTTATCAAAAAAATGTTTCATAATAATTTCAGTCGCTTATCCTATAATTTTCTAGCTTTGGTTTCTTAACGAGTGGAACTTGAACGAATTTGTCTTTCGGCTCAGAACTATACAATGAGTAACAAAGTGCGAAAATGCTTCATTGATTCAAGTTGACAATCTTTCTTTCTCTCTATCGCTTTCATACCAAACTTGGTTGTCGCTTTTGTATCAATATTCATATCAAAACATATTTTTCTGTGTCGCTGAATATTAGAAACGACATTTTGTAAATTATATCGTTGTTCTATTTTTATGCTTCATGTAAAACTCATTTTTGTTAATGAAACTTCATGTATCAAGTCGATATACGTCAACTGGTATACAATTATGAAAATAAAGCTTGGATATATATATTTACATATTAAAGATCTTAAAGTATCAAGTTTTTGCCGGCCTACCCTGTCTGTATCTTTCATCTTATTTCTACTAGCTAGGTTGTATGTAAATGCCTGTTTATTTTCTATATGTCAATATCATGAATCTCAACGTCCAAGGCAATTTCGAAGTGTTAACCATTCTAAGGTATTTTCTTGTTACTTGTGCACGAGAACATGAAAAAATAGGAGTACGATGATAAACCTTTTATTTCATACCTATTTGGAAAGTCTTTGTTTGCTTGAGTAATGATTTAGAAATTAATTAGAGTGTGGATGTGAAAGAAAATCAACATTTACACCAGTACTCCACATCCATTCACATTCACATGTTTTTATGCATCATTACTCGTTACAGAGGTCCTTGAACGTAATCACTACGCGTCGACACCAATTGTAAAGCAAGAAACTAGGTGAATCTATTCAATTTTAATTGGCTGTGTCAAAGCTTATTGAAATGTCTATCAACCTTTTTCGATATATATTCATCACTATTTTCCGATCTTGAGATTTTTCCATTGACATATAATCTTGCGACATTTTTTTCCAATTACATTAGTTATAGTAGGTATCAATATCTTCAATATACAACAACTTACAGAATAAAGTTTTACTATTTTGTTAGGACATGCAAAAAAATAGCTTCTCTATAATACGAGCGTATGTATTTTCTCTATAAATGAAACTAGAGACATGAACATCTGATATAATATTTATCTAGTCGCAAGGTGTTAGATGTCAGACGTTGAGCCTTTTTAAAATATTATAGTAAGAAAGAAAACGCAGTTTTTTTTCATAAGGACTCTAGACTTTCGGCTCTCTCTGTAAATTCATCTATAGGAATTTATGCTATGAATAGAGATGATGAATAGACCATCAAACATATTCGACAAGCTTGATGATTATCGCCAGTTCTGTCCTGCTCGACAAAATGGTTTCTTGCAGAGCAAACAAACAAGAAACTTAAAAATCAATACTTCGTTCATATAGATGTAAGGATGTTCGGAAGTCGTGTGAAGCGGTTATGAATAAATCTTGACAATCTGATGCCGTTAAACTATCTGCATAGATCGATTGTTTTTATACAGAGAGTCTGTATCTTTTGCCTATTTCTACTTATTTTTGTCATGTATCTTACATAGATAGTTGTTTGGTGAATCTTTTATTAGCCTGCATACTTCTTTATGAGTCATTCCTATGGAATTACATGATGCAGTTTTTGACGTCATGGAAAAAAAGTCATTCCATAAAAAATCTAAATAGTTTTCATGGTTTTCACTATCCTGTGTTTCAATTTTGATAGATTGCATAGAATCTCCTGTCAAGAAACAATTTATTGATTCTTACGAATGGTACGGACAACAATAACTCGAATATATACAAAGTTTATTCTAACTGATGAGTCAAGATGTATGCATAGGAATTTCTATGCTGGTTTATGTTCATTTTTGCGTCCAACATTGGTTGAAATCATTTGAGCACGTGTATTTGCTGAATCAGTAGACATTTGAAATCGTTCTATTCGAAGTACTTGTAAAACTGCTTTACGAAAGCTACGACTTGAGTAGAATGAGACATAAAAACTAGTGCTATAGAATAAATAAGAGAAAAGACGTATCAATTCAATAAAAACAGTTTCCCAAGCTAATCGTAATGGTGATTTGTACCAATCTTCAGTAATATTCGAGTAAAGATTCTGAGCTCCATAGGGAAAAAACGAAGGTATCGCAACAAAAGATTGTAATAAAAGCATATTTGTTAATTGTGCATCGATTTGTTGAATATAATATGGACTAACAGCGAGTGCTTGTGAGACAATACCTGTCGGCTGGATGCGTCGATGAACGACTTGTCTAACATTTCTTAGTAGTGCACAGCCAAGTATCAACAAAACAACCGGTGGACAAACGCCAGACATGATGGCTTCAAAGTAAATATCGAGTTTTTCGTAGAAACCTGGATGAGCAGCACAAACACCACTTATATTGCTGTAGAGGAATAAACGGTGACCAACAAGTAAAAACCAGAACACTATGACACTGGGTACTATCTTATAAGCCAAAGACACCCGATTGCTCCAGTTTCGATAAGCTAAAAGCAAGAGAACACTATGAGCAATTATGTTTCACAAAAATAATCGATCTTATCAGAGCTATGATTATATGCAATTCATTCTCGTTATAGCCTACGTTATTGGAAAGTCATTTCTAATACTATATATATATTAACAACAAACATTTAATGAGTCCGATCATGGAAGCATTGAATTAGATCTTCAACTACTTAATACATATCGATAGTGTCATAGTGACCTTGCAGAGCGCATTTCAATATATTATTTTCTGTAGATTCCTAAAACATACCATTAGAACGATGCGTTGATAAAAATCGATCAATAGTGGCCAAAGTAAACAGTGTAAATGCCACTTGATGTGTATATTGAGAAAGAAATTGTCGTATTTTGCAAACGACATCATAACGATTGATAATCGGAAGTCGAAAACCTTTTTGAATTATACGTGTAACTAAGACATAATCAAAATAGAGAAAATTGAAACATGATTCCGCAATTAGATATACTGAACAAGCTCGACTACGAAAATTTCGAGAACTAAAAACGGTGATATTGCCAATCCAGCTGATATTACCCGTGACAAATATGAATAAACCAAGATAAATATTAAGTTGATATGGAGTCAATAATAAAGTAGGATCAATAATGGTATTACTTGTATTTGTTGCACTCATAATGATAATAGTCAACACTTGTTTTGAATACAAGAAAATAATTTCTGATAATGATGTTAGTTGGTTGTAGTCGTTTATTGATTAATCGCTTATCTAAAAAAAATATGAAATATTAAAAACATTTTCAGAAATGTGTTGATTAGAAGTTCTTGATTAATTCGAATTGAAGACAATCTCATGCTAATCTTGTCAAATATCAGATTCACATTTACGGCCATGATATTCATCTATTCTTCTATTTAAAGCTAATGAAAAGGAATACATGTCGTTGCAAATAAATATATAGCAGAGAGCAGTCAGCCGTTTAAGTAATCTATCTCTCGTTCTATACTGAAAAACTAAATAAACACAACTTTTATCTTTTTCTTGCGCATAACTGTGAGCAAAAATAGAGCATAGTTAGTACGCATACTTATCTTACAATAAATGAGTCACGTCTAAATACTTTGATATGCGATGGTACATTCATGATGATTAGATCATTACTCTTCTATTTGAATTCATCATCTATGTTTTCAAGTACTCCGACAGTTGAATTTTCTAGGTATCAATTATTCTTCAAACTAGAAGCATAGACGGATAGGTGGATTAATCCTATAAGCTATGAAAAGGTGGATATCATTATTTCCATAACAATTAATGTTTGGATGGTGATATTAGGAAACTTACCGCATCAAAGGAAATAATAATGTTTTCAAGCTATTCCTCCTTTTCCCAGTGATCAAAAATGACATAGATAAATACAACTCTCATTCAAGACATGTAAGCAAAGTATGTTGTTGTAAGGAAAACTACTGCCTCGGTAGATTTTTCAAGCGTAAAAAAATTTCTGAATTCCTTCATGTAGATATTCGGATCCCATAGAAATAATTCTGTCTTATTATATCCCTAGTTTTTGTCGGAAAAGAGCTCTTTGAATCCATTCGAATGAAATTATACGCAGATATATGGAAGTGTTTTCGACATGTGTATCGATTTGATTCATTCATATTGAAAAAAAACGAGTACTGGCATATAGCTCGATGAGTATTTATTTTCCTTAACTTTAAAAGAACTACTTCTGATTTGACACATTCTTAGGCGATTCCATTAGAAAAGAATACCGACTCAATCTCACTTCGTCAAAGAACTGATTAATTGTGACAAGCTAACAATGCATAAGTAAACAACGAGAATGCCTGATAAAAGAAATTCAAGTTAAATATTTATATACTCAGTAATCGTTAATGTAGATTTTCTAATGGCATTAGAGCTCAACAAATCTTGGAATAAGTTGATGACGTCAATCTATTCTAGTTTCCTTTTTTTCTTAATATGTCATAAGAATTAAAATAATGAAGAATAGAAATCATACCGCTCTCTTCGACATTGTTGATACCCTTCTGGTAGTTTGCTATGACTGTCAGATCGACTTTAGCTAATTGTGATCTTACTGAATTGTATCTTATCTATGTTAAATTCGAATAGTGGTGTATGAAAAACGAAATAACCAATGATGATACCATGAAAGTCTAGATTTCGAATGTGTTTGGTAAAAGCAATTTCTCTATTGCAAGAGTTCCTATATAGATGTTATGACATGTCTCTCTTGAATCAAGCCTCAAAACTTCTGAATAAATTCTTTTGCTACTATAGAGTTGTGCTTTAGCGAATTGAAGAATATTCATCCTAGTTTTTTTCCGTATTTGGGATACAGCCGTTATCTTGCTGCAATCTTTCGCATTATACAAGTGAACCGGGGTGTTCCTATGATAGTTCAATTATGTGCAGTCTTTATAATACATCTGCCATAGTCAAACGGCAGACAAAAGGTGGAAATGTTACGATCGAGAATCCGATACTAAATATAGCTGTCGTCTTTTCTCATCCATCGAACATTTTTTCTTCAACTCGAAGTAATTGAAATGAAGATGAATTGATGGCCCTGTTTATATTTTCGGCATCCAAACTCTTTATTCCACTTAATATTGATGATCCGAATTTTGTCTGTGTTATATATCATTCACCGTTTCAATAAGATTGACGGCATCGCTAATCGAGAGAGTACGGATGAAAAGATCGTATTATCTACTCGTACCAGACGATACCATGCAAATAATTTGATTTCTTTTTTTATTTTGTGACGATTCAACGCGTTGTATCAATGATACTCATCAAACAGAAAGAGAACAGACGGGATCATCAAAAAAGGCAGAGAGAAAAAAATAAGAAATAAGAACAAGCGAAATAGGATAATATTGTGTCTATGATCATTATAATATCTCTTAAGTAATTCTATTTTTATTTTGATAGATCATCAATGAAATATTTGATAATTATACACTTCACAATAGGAGAAGTCTATGACATTGGTGAAATTCTCTGGTCAGTGTTGGGAAAAGCAAAAGTTCAAGTCAGCAAAAATTGCTAGTGTGCTTCATAACACAACATTAGCAGTTGGCATAATCGAGCAGTTAATCGAAGACGAGATAATACCAGGTTATTTCGACAAATCTAGTGCGAGTGTGTGGGTATGGTGAGAAAAATATTCACACGCACACCCATATCCTACACCGAGATCCACAGTCACTCTAGCCCCACTCACCCCCTCACACATCCAATAAAGAAACATTTGTTGCCTTTTACATACATTAGTGTAAGTATATGTCAAAGATATCTTGAGGATAGGCGATGGTGAGTGAACAATTGATGACGCTCACTTTTACTGCCCCCCCCCC